AGGCCGCATGACGTGTTATTTGTGGATAGCATTTGTTTGCGCGTGCACTTTGATGTTATTTTTTCTTTCCAATATTATTTATTTGTCACTATGGCAACAAGAGGTTGTGTACATGATCCAAATATATTCTGTTATAGTTGTGGTAAACTTGTTGCAAAGAAATAAGGGCAAAACATTACAGAATTCGTCAAAAAAGCGTAGCTGCTCAAAAGTCATTGCTTAGAAGAAGTAGTCAAAACCCAAAAGTGAAATAAGCATCAGGTGTCAAAAATGGTATGAGCAAAACTGGATGAGGGTGATCAAAATTCAAACTGTTTGGTATCAACCAACAATACTTTGTTTGATGGGAGAGAGAGGAGAATGGTATATTGTTCAAGTATCGTCTCAGCCAAAGTTGTTAGAAATCTACACAAAACTGATGGCACCCTGACTGCAGACTGATACATTATATTTTTATCCGACATTAGATTCCTTAAGGAACAAGACCTCTTGGGCAGGGATTCATCTTCCAGCAAAACAGTGATCCCAAGTATGTAAATAATGCAGTGAAACGAAATATGTATGTAAAAGCTACCAATTAAACACTCGAAACTTCGGCTTAGCCTAAATAAAGTTTCACTATGAATGTTATTAAGGCTGTACGAGCTTATGTTAAAACTAAGATCAAACAATAACCAAACAACTTAGCTAAATTGTGGAGTAATATAGGACATTTGTTTGTCAATCAGAGCAAAGTCAAACTGTGCTGTCTGCGGTGTCCACTGCAAGGAATCGAGCTAGAGATTTTAGCATTAAGTCCGTAAACTTACCGCTGTCCCATCAGGGAACCAGGGCTTTTGAAACAACATTTCAGAATCTTGCTACTCAGTTTAAATCTGTTTGCTATTGTTTTATATTTTCTGTAATAATGTTTAATACTAATGATCAAAAATCGACCAACAATATGCAATTAATCACTTTTGTGACTCCTGTATGTGCATAAACTATACATATCATAACTGGTTCCGATACTATACAAGTTATTCTTAACTTATGCCAGTTTTAAAATTATAAATGTTCCTTTTACATATATACTTATACTAATAATACAACTAATTACAAAACGCCTAATCACCTAGTAACAACTTATTCCGAGTCGCAGAGCAACAGTTTCAAATCATACAACATTACTGCATTGCCGAGCTACATGTCAACACACTATTATCGGGTCACATAGTTACAATCCAGTATTAGGTAACATAGCAACATTCCAATATCGAGTAAAACAACAACAATTCAGTGTCTAGTCATACAGCAACATTCTAGTGTCTAGTCACACAGTAACACTACAGTGTTGAGTCATACAGTAACACTACAGTGTCTAGTCACACAGTAACCTCCACTAATAACAGTTGAAATCAAACTTTTATTAAGCTACTTGTGCTTAGCAGTACAGTAATATTGGAACAAGAATGACCTAACAATCTTTGAGTTTTTTACTTTCTAACCATCCTTTAATCTTAACATTGATGCCATTTCATTTTGTCCTTAGTATTGGTTATTTACATCTAATCTACCATATACGTACGAAACAACAATGAATATTTAAAACTATCTGTAGCTTGTGAGGCTATTGCTAAAGAACCATTCTACAAACACACACAACAAAAAATCTAAGCAAGTCTTAATTATCAATCTCCAATCGAATGTCGTCCTTTGGTGCTCTAATATATCCTAATCATCGTACAAGAAGTTCCGTAAATTACAACTCATGGCTTCTAGCAACGAACGTGGATATATACGAGAAACTTAATACAAAGGCAAGTGACAACGTCACATCAAATTTTAATCAAACCGAGTAATTCTGGAAGATACTGCTGTCTAGAACGCATTTTTGCCATGAAAACGATCATTAGAGTTGACCCCCCATCTCTAATTTTCTGTGGCTTCAAGTAAATCTAGACTCGACTTTAAATATGTACGTACGAGACTTTCTGGGTTTACTTAAGTATTCCATTTACTAACCACGAGGTTGTCTAGGCTTACTTAGGCGTTATACGAGTATTACATTTGTGAACAACGAGATTTTCTAATCCTACTTAAGCCTTATACGAGCATTCCATTTACGAGATTGTCTAGATCTTCTTAAGCCTTGCACAAGTATCCCATTTACAAAATACGAGATCGTCTCGGCCTACTTAAGCCTTATACGATTGTTCCATTGACGAACTACGAGATTGTCTAGGTCTACTTAAGCCTTACACAAGTATCCCATTTACAAAATACGAGATCGTCTCGGCCTACTTAAGCCTTATACGATTGTTCCATTGACGAACTACGAGATTGTCTGGGTCTACTTAAGCCTTATATGAGTAATCTATCTACGAACTATTAAGCCTAGTCAATATATATACAGTGGAAAAATGTTAGAAAAAACGTTAGAATCCAATGAACAGAGTATAAAAATAACTGTGAGGAAGAAGTATCAGTAAGAATAATATACTTGGTTCTTCTGACTGTAACCACTTTTATTGTCTTAGATCGTTCAGTTTAAAAAAGATTGATCAAACCTCAACCAACAAATGTCATAAGAAATGGTTGAAGGACATTTACTGTTGTTTCTACTAAGTGCTCAGAAAGTTCTAGATGTCAGTTAAAATCAAAATCCAACGGTCTCGTGTGAACAAAAGTAGTCTTACTTTTAGGAAGGGTTACATTAACACCTAAACAAGGTTTTATGGTTTTAATTGCGTTTTTCTTTTTTAAGCAAGAGATCTAACCTTAAATTTATACAAAATTTGATATGAGAAACTGGTCTAGCGGACATATGGCAACTTCTGTACGATCGTACCACGATTTTACGATCAAAAGGTTTTCAATAATCTCCGCAGAAGAAAAGATGCAAACAGTCTGGTGTTCATACAGTTTCAGTGATTTCTTATGAAATCAAGGTCAAACCCTTCCCATGCCGAGATGGCATATATGATTCAGTGCTACATAATTGGAACAAGTGGACGAAGATGGCAGTCCACTGAAGATTAGCCCTCATCTGACAGCTGAAATCAATCAGTCATGTAGGTAGACTGAAACAACTGGGGTAAAAACAAATGTCTTGCCCAAGGTCATAACCACATGACACGAGCCAGCCTCGAACTCGCAAACATCCGACTATGACTACGCATCCAAAGCGCGATACCACAGAATCAGACTGCCAAAACGCCATACCTTAATGAAATGGTTAATTCCAATGAATAAAATACATAAAAAAAGAATAAAGAAGCAGTGTTTATCACTAGTGAGCCTTAGTTTTAAGTCAAATAACTTTAATGTGGATTATTTGTTATCGGAACACAATGTACAGGTGTACAACAGTTAATAATAATATCTTGTGGAACAGGCAAAAAGTTACAGAGGTCAGCTTAATTTCAAATATCGTGACCTGTGACGTAACAGTTACGTAAGTATGACGTAGGAGTTACGTAAGAATTAATCAGTATAAATATGACATTATATTTAAAAAAAGGACAGAAAATTACAAAAATTGTTTCTCAATTATATTATTTCAGTAGCAAAACGTTATTTATAATATATATACTTTTTAGCGTGATGATCTTAAATTACTTTCCAGTAGAACACCTACCTGTCGTCGAGCTTGCTTGACTTCATGACTGTCTGATGTGGTGTGACTGCGCAAAATCAATCGATGAGGATGGCAGGAAGGAGAATGAGTGTGTTGACTAATACTGACTCGCGACTCCACATGTCTTAACTGCTGGTCACTTAAAAAATTAAGTACAATTTATTCAATGATAAAGAAAAATAATGACAAAACATTGACTTTTTCATGCAAGGGGGGAGGAGAGTATTCTTCAAACCCCCTCATATACAAATTATTACTGTTTCACTGTATTAGTGACTTTCACTTCCGACCTCGATCTTTTTCACGATGTGTTATTACTTCCGAGTGCAAATTTTTGACATTTCTACTTCGGCTGAAACCATATGACCATATTATTACTTACTAGTGCAAATTTTTATGATATTTCAACTTCCGGTTGAAACGTTTTACTATGTTATAATTTCCGAGCGCAAATTTTTGCGATATTTCTACTTCCGGTTGAAACTGTTTACTATGTTATTACTTCCGAGCGCGAATTTTCTATATCCGGCTGAAACTTTTTATTGTGTTATTACTTCCGAGTGCAAATTTTGACGATGTTTCTATTTCCAGCTTAAATTGTTTACTGTTATTACCTCTGACTGCAAACTTTCGTAACTTATCTACTTCGGGCTGAAACTTTTCATTGTATTATTACTTTCAAGTGCAAATTTTGACGATATTTCAACTTCCACCTGAAACTTTTTACTGTTTTATTACTTCTAATTGCAAGTTTTTGCGATGTTTCCACTTTCGGCTGATATGTTTTATTGCATCATTACTTCCGAGTGCAAATTTTTACGATGTTTCTACTTTCGGCTGAAACATTTTATGATATTCCTATTTGTAGGTTGGTTGAATTTTGATAAAGTTCCATTTTCGAATGGAACTTTTATGGTGTTTTATCAAATCGCCCCTTAGTGGCACAGCGGTACGTCTGCGGACTTACACGCTAGAATCTGGGTTTCGAAACCCGTGGTGGGCAGAGCACAGATAGTCCATTGTGTAGCTCTGTGCTTAATTACAAACAAACATTTATCAAATCAAATGTATTCTGTGTTGGATGCTGACTTCGGTACGAGTGTATAAGAATAGATGAGATACCAGTTCATTATAGGTCAACTCTTAACTACTATACAAATGGCTGTTAAATTTAGTTATTTTTAGAAGCGATAATTTATCACAAGTTTGTTTACGAATCATACGTTGTGTAGTTCAATAGTTATGAATTAGTGATTGTTGTATTATTGCGTTATGATACCAGAACCTTCTAAATTTTTATCGTTGTTTAAATTTAGTAATATTACATCATAATATCTAGTAAAGTGTGGAACATTCTAGACATATGTTGGGATATAAATATGCGTCCAAAATTTAGTTCGAGAAGTAAATTAGATCCAGACTGCGTGATTGTGAATTTAGTCATAAAGAGCGTATAGTGGCGATTTATAAAGTGAAATTATCACAGATTGTATTGTAATAACAGAGCAGAGAAGAATAATTCGTCTTGTGAGTTGTATTCTAAAGTAACTGGACCAGACCGTGCGGACTTTGACAAAAACGGGACGATTATTTAAAGCTCTGAATACAACTGTGGTGATTAACTGTGTAACGAACATTTGTATATACGTTTGACTTGTTTTAATAAATTATTTTAAAACAAGTGGACTGATTTGCTGTTTGTTTATTGTTGAAATTTATCGCCAACAAGTTACAAACACCCACTATAAAGAATCTGGCACAAACATAAAACCTGAAATATGTTGTTTTGTTTAAACGTGACTCTTTTCCGCCTAACGAATTTTTCATTTTCATTAGAAATGTGTCCAAATGATTGAAAAGCACGTGGGAGGTAAAAACAAGCAAACAAATTATTAAATCGGTTTGAGTCAGTAAAAAGAAACTATTTAACAAAAAATGAAGTACTTAGAAATATGGTATTTCAAACAACTAAACAGGAAAAAAAATTTTAATTGATTAAGCTCAAAATTTTTATAAAACTAATACTACTTTATGATTTCACTTTCAATATATTAGCTCTTCACACTAAGCTAAAGCTCTATATAATAAACAAGAATGTCATAGAAACAGGAAATTAATCAGTTTAGTCTCAAGCCCTCGGAAGAGGGAGGCAGAATAGAAGTTTAATTTCCTTCTATCGTGTTTTTCCGTTCGTGTAAGGACTCATATTCTGAATATACCAACGATAAGGACACGATATATATATATATATAAGGAATAAGCCTCTTTGGCCAAAATGCAGAGGGAAGTCTTCGTGAAAGTCCATACGATGAGAGCGACAGCAGAATGATTTGTAACAACAAAAACATGGGGCAAATTATATTATAGTAGAATAGGGAAAATAATTATTTAATCCTTAGCTCGTCCATAGTTTTCCGACGTACCTAGTGTGATTTGTTAGTTCGGACAGTCTTTGTGACTTACCTGCTGTGATTTGTTACTTCCTCCATAGTTTTTCTGACTTACCTACTGTGATTCGTTAGTTCTTCCATAGTTTTTCTGATTTACCTACTGTGATTCGTTAGTTGTTCCATAGTTTTTCTGATTTACCTGATGTGATTCGTTAGTCGTTCCATAGTTTATCTGATTTACCTGGTGTGATTTGTTAGTTCTTCCATAGGTTATCTGACTTACCTACTGTAATTTGTTAGTTCTTCCACAGTTATTTTTTCTGACTTACCTGCTGTGATTTTTTAGTTCGTCCATAGTTATTTTTTCTGACTTACCGTCAATAATTCGTTAGTTCATCTATAGTTTTCTGACATACCAGTTGTGATTTGTTAGTTCGTCCAGTTATTTTTTCTGACTTACCTGCTATAATTGAACCAATCTATGTGAACTTTGACGAAAAAAAACAATTATTCATGGCTCTGGATACAACTGTGATAACCAACTTACCCGCTATGATTTGTTAATTCGTCCATAGTCTTTGTGCTAATCCATAGTTCGATGATAACCCGGGTGTAACAAATGATCATAAGCACTGATGGAAGACCAAAGAGCGCCACCAAACGGTAGATAGCGACAACAGAGCCTCGCCAGTCTTTGAGTTCCTTACAAGAGAACAGAGTTACGGTGATCTCGTAATTGGTTAATGTTGTCTTCTCTGTGCTCTATGTATTCAAGCATTATAAAGAAGTACAGTCAGAGAAATTCAATATGAGAAGCAAAATAAAAGTATTCAAACAATACCTCTGAAACAAAGAAAAGATATTAGTGGGATATGAGAAATAAACTAAGAATATTATTGAGTTATGAAAAACAAAATAACAATATTACTGAATTTTAAGAAATAAAATAACATTATCATTAAGTTATGAGAAATAAGATAACAATATTATTGAGTTATAAAAAACCAAAATAACAATATTACTGAATTTTCAGAAATAAAATAATATAACTAAGTTATGAGAAACAAAATAATATTTTTAAGTTATTAGAAGCAAAATAACAACATTGTTGACTTATGAGAAATGAGATAACAATTTTATTGAGTTATAAAAACAAAATAACAATATTACTGAATTTTAAGAAATAAAATAACATTATCATTAAGTTATGAGAAATAAGATAACAATATTATTGAGTTATAAAAAACAAAATAACAATATTACTGAATTTTCAGAAATAAAATAATATAATTAAGTTATGAGAAACAAAATAATATTTTTAAGTTATTAGAAGCAAAATAACAATATTATTGAGTTAATAAAAGCAAAATAACAAAATCCATATGAAGATTGGTAAGAAGAATTAAACTTTTAATCTCTAGATGATAACATCAACATACGGGGACATGTGTTCTCTTTTTGTATCAGAAACAAATCTAACTGGAATGGATCCGTAACCATTTCAAACTGTCGATTTGAAAAATACTAGGGCAATTTTTATTTCAGCTGTGATAACCGATATTAGGTGATTATACACAATCCTTCTATTTCCGCAAGAGCTGGGAAGAATATAATATACTAAAGTTTTTTTAATAACCATATTTTATGGTTGTTAAAATACATTTGGAAGTAAAACTGACATTGTTACAAGCCAGATGTTCTAATTGAGGTTGTTACAAGCCAGGTGTTCTCACTAACATTATTACAAGCCATGTGTTCTAACTGACATTATTACAAGCCATGTGTTCTAACTGACGTTGCTACAAGCCAGGTGTTATACCTGACATTGTTACAAGCCAGGTGTTCTACCTGAAACTGTTACAAGCCAAATGTTCTAACTAACATTGTTACAAACCTGATGTTCTGACTGACATTATTACAAGCCATGTGTTCCAATTGACGTTGCTACAAGCCAGGTTTTCTACTTGACATCGTTACAAGCCAGGTGTTCTACCTGACATTGTTACAAGCCAGATGTTCTTCCTGTCATTGTTACAAGCCAAATGTTCTAACTGACATTGTTACAAGCCAGGTGTTCTAATTGACGTTGCTACACGCCAAGTATTCTAACTAACATTTTTTCAAGCCAGATGTTCTACCTCACATTCATTGTTACAAGCCATGTGTTCTAACTGACGTTGCTACAAGCCAAGTATTCTAACTAACATTTTTTCAACCCAGGTGTTCTAACTGGCATTGTTACAAGCCAGGAATTCTAACTGAATTGTTACAAGTTAAATGTTCTATTTCAGTAATGTACGTTTGTGTCGTTAGTGTATCATATTTCTCCCATTACAAATCAGTGTGATATCTCTCGTTGGATCATTCTGTACTTCAGCTTTAAAAGAAAACGGTCCTGTTTTCTCTCAACCCTCATTCGAGTTTGTCTTGTCATGAAGAATAGCCGTAACCAAGCGTGTTTCTTCACCTGCAAGTGTCTGGCTAAAGGACAGATGGTAGATAGGAAGAAAGTAGAAAAAAGACATTATCGTTGTTCAAATTACCTTACTAGCTATAACCGGTAGCGATATCAATAAGGAAACCATCCACACCAGCACCATCAACTGCTTACAGTTCCCCATGGTGCAGAGGGAGCGAGACTTTATGGGGAACACAATAACAACAAACCTGCGAGGAGAAATAACAATTTTTATCACGTGTGAAATTTGTATTTCATGTTAAATACAATAATGACAATAAATGTGTAGAATTTCAGAACATATGCCAACATATGTAAAAATCTGGTATTTGTTGCAACATTGAAATGACAATATATGTGTAGCAATTCAGAATTTAACACTACAGTGACAACATATGTAAAAATCTGGTATTTGTTGCAACACTGAAATGACAATATATGTGTAGAAATTCAGAATTTAACACTACAATGTCAACATGTGTAAAAATCTGGTATTTGTTGCAACACTAAAATGACAATAAATGTGTAGAAATTCAGAATTTAACACTACAATGTCAACATGTGTAAACATCTGGTATTTGTTGCAACACTGAAATGACAATAAATGTGTAGAAATTCAGAATTTAACACTACAATGTCAACATGTGTAAACATCTGGTATTTGTTGCAACACTGAAATGACAATAAATGTGTAGAAATTCAGAATTTTTGTTAATGGTAAAATGACACAAATGTACAAAAACTCAGAATTCATTCAATACTGGTAGAAGTAAAAATAAAAACATGATTTGTTATGTAGATAAAAAAAGGTAACAACACTTATAATTTCTTTGAAAAACATCACGAACATTTAAACATCGTATTTAGAATATAGTCTTCGGAAGAAAACAGGTAAGTGAAACAAAAGCTATGTCAACAAAGAGCACCGTATCCATGTTCTTATGAAACTATCAAAACTTCTAGTGTCACTTTAAGCATCATATAAAAAAAAATAATAATTTGGAATAAACGATTATGGACAAGTTTATGACAGTTTGTGTAGTAGCAGCATTTTCGAGTTCTGGATTTTCATAATTGGCTATTAAAAGTTTTATAGAATGGTGTAGTAGCAGTATTTTAGAGTCGTTAATTTGGAAAACTCGTGTTGATTAATATAGACTTTGAACACCGTAATATTATGTATATGAAGCTATTAAGTAGACAGCAGGTCCCACTCACTCAGTGTGGGTTTAAATGTGTCCTATTCATTCTCTACAAATTGACTCAAATAAACTAAAGCAAACTAACCTACATGAAAATGTAGTTATTTTCTATTCTACAATATACTGGGGTAGCTCCCACTAGCACGCTACGTTCATAAAACGAGATGAGCTCTGAAGACGGCTTCCTTCCTGTTCCCGAGGTATCAGTTTTGTTTGATGTAAGAATACGTAGTACAGGCACAAATTATGCTTACATGTTTGGTACTACCATCAATTGTTAAAATACTTTAGAAAATCATGCGACTAACATACTCACCGACCAGTGAAATACGACCTTCGCAAGACGACATTACTCACCCATAATGAAAAGCCAATAAAAGTTTTATATTTTTATAATAAAGCAATTTTTCTAGGAACGTTCCCATTGTCCAATACGTCTCATACCGATTCTCTAAGGCAAAAATATAAACACCACTTTTTAGAACCACGAAGAACCGTCTCCATAAATGTTTATGTCATAAAAAGAGTTGCATTTATGTAGTAAAATGACAGTTAAATGAAACACCCTATCTCCACAGGATATTTTGAGGACCACGGACGATGATATACATTTATTCAGAAATAAGAAGAAAAAAAGTTAACACAAGCTTTGATTGGTTAGTTTGTTTCATGCAAAGTAACACACGAGTTATTAGTTCATGGCTGTTCCTAACTTGGAACTAATAGGCGAAAGGAAAGACAGCTAGCCAAAGTAACACACGAGCTATTAGTTAATGGCTGTTCCTAACTTGGAACTAATAGGCTAAAGGGAAGACAGCTAGCCAAAGTAACAACCGAGCTATTAGTTCATGGCTGTTCCTAACTTGGAACTAATTGGCTAAAGGGAAGACAGCTAGGCAAAGTAACACACGAGCTATTAGTTCATAGCTGTTACTAACTTGAAACTAATAGGCTAAAGGGAAGACAGCCAAAGTAACACACGAGCTATTAGTTCATGGCTGTTCCTAACTTGGAACTAATAGGTTGAAGGGAAAACAGATAGCGAACAGTACATACTGCTAAACTTTTGGGCTACCTTTACCTAACCAGAAATTGAAATTAGGTAAGTACTTACATCGTCTTCACTGCCTCAAATATAATGTTTGGCGATTTATAAAAAACTAGTAAGACTTTTTTAACTCTTGAATTATTCGTTTCGTGTTTCAATTTTTAGGTTATATAGATTATAAAGAAAATTATATCGAAGTAACGATTACTAGTATAACCGGTTTTAAAGACTGCTCTTTTTCTGTACTGTCACATGTATGCGAGACGGTGACGTCAATTTGTTTTTCAATTTCGCGCAAAGATATCGTGGGCTATCTGCGCTAGCCGTCTCTAATTTTCAAGTGATAAACTAGAGAATGAAAACAGCTAGTAAACGCCACCACCGCCAGCTCTTGGGCTACTCTGTATTAATGAGTAGTAAAATTGACCGAACAATTATAACGCCCAAACGGATGAAAGTGCAGCACTTTCGGGGACCGGATTCGATCCCGTGATCCACAGATACCAAGTCGAGTGAATTAATGGAGGTTATGCCAGACTCAGTGATGTAAAATAATTTAATTCGAATCGAGCAACCGAAAGATTCTGATAATATATAAAATAACCTGGAAGCAATAAAAAGAGACAACAACAAAAAACAACAATTAAATTTCATATCAGACAACCTGACAAACGTATTTTACCCGTTTAGAAAATAAAAACGTAACGTGTCACGTCTGAAATCAGTCTTTTCTGACTACTTTTAGAGAGAGAGTTTCTGAAAAAACAATTACAACATTAAAAGTTTCAGAGACGTGACACTTCAATTTTCAGGAGGATTTAATAAGTATCTATGTCAAAAAGTTTACTGGACGTGGCATTTCAATTTTTAAAAGGATTTACGTAAGAATAACCAAAGCTAAAAACTGCTTGGAACATCACGCTTTGAAAGGCCTCACACTGGCAGGTAAAAATCACCATTCAAAATGAATTAATTTCAT